GATCTACGCCGCTGACTCGCAGTTATGGGGCTATAAATCAACTTCCGTTCGTTTTATTTACGACGCACCTTATGGGGGGAGGATGTAAGATGTGATTGCAATTGACATGGACGAGGTAGAGGCTGCGTACTACTAGGGCAAATCTTCGACATGCCTTTCCCTTCCCCTTAGCAACAGTAAACACAATCTGAACCTAACTCCGCCGCGTCCCACTTCGCAGATACCAACCGCAGTTTCAAATCAGTTAGAATCAGCCCCGTACCATGCGTGGCTTGTCGGACCACAGTGCGCGTACGTAGTTACGTAAATATGCCGTCTTGTGCGTCACACTCGATGCCTAAAATCTAGAGATAGCAGTCACCTATGTTTGCTGACTTGTACCACGCTGTCCCGGTGCATAATTACAAACTTGAACGAAGCGTTTCACTGCCAAACTATATTTAGTATAAATCCTTTTTTTATATTGAACTCTTGATAGGTTGAACATGACCAAAGCACAATTTTTCTGGGGAAAAACTTTACCACGCTTTTGTTCATTACCGAAAGAATAGAACTGGTTCAAAATTTATTCGATCCACGTAGCTGGGTGTTTTTCCCGTTTAAAATTCGCTCTAAAGCATTCTACGTGAATGCATGCTTTTTGTTTGTAAGGAGTTTGTTGGTTCAAATCAGAGAAGGCTCAAATCGCAATTATTATTTAAATTGGTTTGGAAACTGCATTGGATGATTTTTGTCTGACAGTACACCTTTCTAAATAGGCCAGTTTTGGGGGGAACAAATATTTACCTGAAACGGACGCACCCCTCGAGTAAATGTCAGCTAGTTGACAACTTAATTTGACTGTTTCCCTTGTTTTATTTTTTAGCCACCGCTTTTCGGTTCGATCCCATTTGGGTTCAATTTTTTGCTACGCGAAAACAATCGACACGGGAATTCGTAGATTAGGCCAAAATCCGTCCAGAATGATCTATGCGGCACGTGCGGTGACCGCAGGGATCACAGGCCGACAACTCGGCGCACAAGGCACAAGAAAAAAAAACACAAAAGCAAGAACCAAATCCGGGATTTATCGTTTCCATTAAGACTGAGCAGTTTGCGGTTTGAGAGTAGCCTGTTGCTGTTGAGAGAATTAATTGAATTTCCACTTCAACTTCAAACCTGCCAGGGATGATGTATGGTATTCTTCTTTCGAAATCGTACGTTTCTGGCGTGTTTTCCAAGACATTCAGGAAGTCAGAAAAGAAGCAGAAAAGGGGAAAATTCCGTTGTTTTAAAAACAAAATTTGATCAGCCTGCACATTATTATGTTTTAGCTTACATCAGTTTTTCAGAACAGCACTTTAAAGTCCCATCTTGATCAATGACCCAAAGATGAAAGTTCAGTGTAATATACAGCTGATCCAAGATTTATCTTTCTGGTACAGGCCTACAACCAGGAATTCGTGGGGTAAATCAATTCCTAAATCTGGCTTGTACTTTTCAATGTCAAAACAAGAAAGGCACACCACATTAAACAGCTAATGTCGCCCTCTGTAAAACGGTAGACTTTTCGTTCCTGATACAGCAGAATCCCCACTTTTAATTCGTAATTTTTAATGTTCGGTGCCCTGTCTGAGTATGTGTGCGGATTTTGCTTCCTCCTTTATTCTCTCGGTTTGAACGTGTACGTCAAGAAACGATCAGAAGAAAGAATCAAGACTGTCAACATTCCCGGGAGATTTTCATAGAAGTTTACCCTTTTTATTATTTCGTTCGCATCTTTTATCCAGTACAATGACATAGAGGTGAACTGGCGATTACAAAACGGACATTCATACCTCTTCACATCCAAATATGCATAGTCAAGTTGCATTTCTGAATTCTTGAACTACGGACAAGGAGATTTTCCAGCGGGCTAAACTATCACACTGAACACCCGCTGATCAGGCAAAACATGCAAAATGCGCTACTCTAGTTAGTTTGTTTTGTCATACGGTATAGCGTTGGACTAAAAAATGTCACGCAAGTAAGTAGAGAAATGCTCAAACTCACGCAGGTATGCAATGCCACACAGTGAACGCAATCGCCATTTTGAATGAGAAACGAGGTTGCCGTTTTGGTGGTGGCGTACGCGTGCCAGTCCGGCCTCTTTTTAACTCAATTGTACAAAGAACACATGGCGTGTTGCGATTCGATTCTATTGCTAGGAAAGAAACATACGACTCACAGTTTGGTAAGCAAAGCATAAAGTATTCGCCAGTATTTCTTAACTAATAATGACCAATAAGAATGACAGTTAAATGCACACCACTCACAGTCTTTTACCATCTTACCAAAGTCCTGACTGGGTGAACGGAACTGAGATATAAAAAGACGACTTCACAAGTGTTTCCAGAACTTTGCTATTAAAGAAAATTGTTTCACGTGCTTTACGGTCACCGTTCTCACAAAACAGCGGGTAGTGTTTTTCTTAAATATCGTTCCCTTACTATTTTAAGAATTTCCTCATCCAGTAGATCACTTGCCAAAAGTTACAGTTTTCCCCTTTCCTTTCTAGGTTATATCATTCACACCTCCACACAGAGTATTACCAATTTCGCAAAAGAACTTTACTTTTTTTAAAATGCTGGTTTTCTAGTCATTCTTGTAGAACAACAGTACTTGAAAACTAGTAAGCATTATTCTTCGACATTATTAATAACTGTTAATATTGCACCAGAGAGTGACACCAATACGGATTTATTATTCTATCAGTTTAAACCACGTCGCAAAAATAAACTCGAACTATCATTTAGTGAATACGGCGGATGCAGGTATTAAGAGTCGGATGCAATGTTCCACAGGCCATTGGCACCAGTGATTCGTTGGCCCTACTTCGCTTCAATTATTTACAATCACTCATTTCACAACGCTGTATAGCTTATTATCTTGTTTTGATGCTGAGCGGGAGTTATCAATGAAATATAACTAGTTTTTGTAGCTTTCACGAAATCGAAAATTCAGAGAGGGAGACGCTGAAACTTTTCTTGTGCAAGCGAATGTTGCTGTTGTTTTTCTAGACTTCTAAACTCTGAGAGTGTTTCGTAGGCCCCACACACAGTGTCTAATAGATAATCTGTCCCTGCAAATGTTGTATGCAAGTAGTCAGAATGCAAACATGACGGGCCGGACCAAGTGGAACCTGCAGAGGACTGATATTCTGGCCTGAAAAAATACATCAGTCAAAGTCAGACTTAGACTGGTTCCTAAATGTAATCGATGGCCTCTCTGTGGTTGTATTTTCCCTTAAATGTAATTGGTTCGGTCCGACATACAGAGGCTAGTTCGATGAAGGGTCATAGTTAACCATAGTTCGACTAACTCTGATCGAACGCACACGATAGTCGACTGTGGTTAAACTAGTCTTGTGACCGTTTCGCGACCAGCCTACCGAAGTTGGTTGCATCTTTGGTTGCTATAGCCGTTTTAATAGCACAGTGTAGAGAAGGCCAGTTATAAGAACAATGGTGGTAAGACGGATAATGTAAGCATGTGACTAGTGATCGATCATTTTTTCACTTTTCGTTTGTAATTTTTGCCCTTCCTACGCCAACTTTTTCTCCCCACAGGCCTAAATAACCTGGCAACGGTTGACCATAGTCGACCGCACGCCAACTTCGCTGCACGTGCACTTGGTGGGTCACGAACCAACCACAAGTTAACTGCTAGTCATTGATCGAACTTTCCCTAAGCGTCACTGAGCACTGAAAAGAACAGCGAGGAGCCTCACGCATGCGGACGAGCCCGTGTCCAAGGTACAAAAGCGTTGTCGGTACTTCAGTAACTGTCTGTTATTTCGACTAATGCCATTTACTCTAGGCAAATACACGTTTACTTTTACATAATTCACAGACGCGTTCAACAGATGTTCACCTGCTAAGATTCACATAAATAATCGGTCCACTGAAGCACCAAACGATAACTTAAGTATACATTTGTACACGTGTCAGTAAGCTATTTTACTTCAGATTAGAACACGTTAGACCGTGACGCAGGCAATCTTATTAAATCTTTTACTACAAGACATATTTGGTTTAATCTCTCGTCACTGCCTGCCATTCCGTGGGCTACGAACGACAGAAAGCATGGTACCTTAAATAGATTCCACAAAAATAAATTCTAGTTGGTCCTCGCTGCGAGGTACCTCCAAATATTAACGTATTTCTGAGGACTGAAAATGAACTATTTGTACGTCTTCGAATCCCATCAAAATGGTGCATTTCTGTGTTAACAACTGGTTTTGAAGTAAACTACAGTCCTAATTTAAATCTGGCGCGGCAAGACCGTACACATGGGAACAAGGTTGCCTGGATAGGGTTTTGTGCACGTGGCCCGTCCATGGCCTTAATCTCGAGGTATGGGATTTCTCAATATCGTTCATGAACACTTCTAGTGTTTACAAATTGCATTCCTGGTTTTGTTTACCAATGAATCCCACGGATTAAAGGCATGTTAGTCAATAATTAACCTCTCCTACAAACTTGTGATTTCAGAAACAAATAAATACCATAAAAAGTATGTACACAACTACAAAGCTATTATGTTTAAGATTGATGCTTTAGAAGATACTCTGTGTAATGTAAAATAAAACTTGAATCTATGTAGAAGCGGCAAGCTGTGTTTCATTGAAAACAGACTCAGCAAAACAGCCTTGGCTTGATTTTCTCGTTGACTTTGTCAACAATGCCCGACTCAAAGCGCGTTTTTCTTTCCTCAGTACATTTCCTTTTGCCCTTCTGAAGATATGCCACGATAAACTCAATTTCCGGGCGCTCCATCAGCAAACTCCGCGCACAACAAGCCCACACCCGGTGATTCGCTCAACCCTGTCGCCATTCAAAATACAAGGCGTCAGTATCGGCTATTACTACATGTCATACCCGTGACTGGCCAATTCCACCTCCTGTCAGGAAAGTAGAAATGATACGCGACCAGGTGACGTCATAGCGGTGAGTATCCACCTCACTCCAGTGTGGTAGTTGTTTTTTTTTTTTCTGGTAGCATCAAAAAATCCCTCTAGAACCTGCCGCGTAAATATGTAGTCTGTGTTATGTAATCTTTACGGAACCAGTCTGGAGTAGTATCCTAATAACTATTACAGTAAAGATCCAAAACGTATGTCAGCACCAGACTCCACTCCACTATCTGTGAGTGTCTGTAAGTACAAGTAACGTCAGATTTCTGTTTGAATATTTATGAAGTGTAGTAAAAAAAAAAAGCAGCATGGTTTATTTCGGGAAAACAGTGAGAATTACTGGTCCCTCGGTGTAGGTCAGTTTGACTAACTTCCTCCGCTTCGCGTCGGGAGGTAGTCGAGCTGACCTTCTCCAAGGGACCAGTAATTCCAAATACTTCCCCTCAAACCATACTGTATTTGTATAACATCCACAGAAAGTTGTGAAGGAAGAACAAAGGCCGCTAAGCCTTGTGTGAAACCTGCTACCTCGTTCAATGCACGTCATCCTGTGCGCACGTGTCACGGCCCACGCAAAAAGGGTCGACCCTGCGTTTTTGTTCCGAAAACTTTTATCCAATGAGAATTCCAAAAAATTACGTCATGCATCCCGAAAAATCAGCATATCCTAGCGCATAATAAGGACGACAGAGATGATCGAAACGCAGAGTATCTCGAACGTAGTTGTCGCACAGATTACAACCTTTGTTCCTAATAACATTTTAGGACGACCGATCTTTACCCATTTTACGTGCAAGTTTTACACTGCAAGTTCTGTCAAGCTGCCTTACGTTTTAATTAAAGATTGCATTACATGCCTTGAACTACTTACGTCAGACAAACATATAAATAACTTAGTTTAAAATGCATTTATCATACAATATAGTGTGTGTTTCTACAGTTAATAAAATTGAAGCTCAACAGCTCAAATCTGATGGTTTTTCTCTTTTTTTTTTCAACAGAAAGCTCGGTTGGAACGCAAAGACCTGAAAAGAAGTTCTCCTCATAGACACTGACATTCTAACACCACAGAGTCCCTTTGTACGGCAATCTCGAGACCACCGGTGCCGTTCACGAACAAGTAAGCGGTCGACCCAAATCTTGTGGGCGCGCAACACGGAGCGTTCCAATCGTCGGGATCGATGGCGTGCATCAAAGATTTGATCCGAGAGTAGGCGGTGGCCGGACGGAAATTGGTGGGACAGTCCCCCGCGCACTGGTACGAGACGTAGTGGGAGGGCTGTATGATCCAATCGCTCCACCCAAGTTCGCTGTAGCTGACGTTCTGCCCGTAGCGGCAACAGGTCGTGACTCCGTCCCCGAGCGAGCAGTCGTAATCGTGCTGCCCTGCTTGCCGTCTCTCCCGGCTGAAGACGGGGCTTGCCTCGTGGTAGAGCACCTCCACCCGTGGCTGAACGGCGGCAGTCTGGCCTGCCACTGAGCCTTGCTCCAAGTCGAAAATCTTCTCGGCCGAGCGCCCCTCGGTGGTCACCACCAGGGCCAGCTCGCCCTGGGGCCCGTCCAGCCACGCGCGTACCGCCGGCGAGATGTGGAACGTCTTCCAGCCGGGGGAGTAGATGGAAAGTTCCCTGGAGTCCAGGAGTTCCACCTCGCTGCCCGCCAGCAGTCCTGTGCTCACCTCAGCCGTAGAGGTGTTATCTCGGCGAACCATGTACACGGAGCATGTTACCGTTTTAGCCTTCGACCGACGGCGGTGGGCGTGACCGGTTGGGTGGGGGCGGAGGTACAATTTGAGTTTCGCGTCCGCGACATCATTAGCATGCCGGCTGGACGAAACAGCGTCCCCACCGAAAAACAATGTGACGGGTTTCAAATGTCGACTAAAGTGAACGTTTTCCTTCGATGAACCTGAAAAAAATCATACAGTAAAAAATACACTGAGAAAGACGGTCTTCCTAATAAATTGATCAATTGAACTGCTTTGGTCGTGAGTGTTCAATTTGTTGGCAGCAATGTGACCGTGACGCGTACATTTCCTAGTCGTTTGAGAACCAGCGAAGTTCACTTCTGACCAAAGGAGCCTTCTGTGCTGAAAAATAGCGCCCTCTCTTGGTCCAGCTCGAGGCCCATAGTGTGCCAGCAACAGTATAATTGGGCAGGCCAAATTATAGCACAGAGCGTCCGCGTATGCCAGCATATACCGACATCATTTCGTTTTTTATCACTAACCAATGCTTGCAGAGGCTAGTTTTTATTTGTGTCATGGATGAAATGCCAGGTTGACATATTTTGAACGAACTCTTTCGGGAGCGAGCCGCATTAAACTTTGAGAAGTTTGAGAAAACTTCTACTACCGGGATATTTGCCGGCTATAGTTAGGCCAGACCGCCTTACCATGGTTGGGACCGTCCTACCTACAGTTAGGAGAGACGCCACAGTCTACGTCCACAAGTATAAGTTTAATGTAACACCAGCATGCTAAAGTGTCCCGAATTCTGTGTTAACCAAACCAAATTATTCAACAAATGAAACATCTGGAAGTCAGAAACTATTATACCAAAACGTTTACCGGATAAGTTGCTCAAGTTCTCTGTTTTGTATGGGGAAAAAAATAATAAATCGCATGAAAACGGAGCCTTTATTGCAGTCATTTTCAGCTGGTGCAATTACCGCCGACCACCTGTCCTAGGAACTGCGGTTGACCTCAACCTTATAAATAGATACACCATGACCAGCGAAAAATGATCTTTTTTCACCTGCAGATAATACGTTTCCTTGCACCATCGCTTTGAAAAAAAAATGGCAGGGCGCCACACGGCGGCAACAAAGAGCGGGGGGGTTTCGTTTCAGCCATCCCATTCATGCTCATGTTTTATCATTTATTGTTGTGAGATAATTGGACTGGGGTTTCCAGTCTGAGCACCGAGGTGGGACGACCTCCTGACTAAACGTGACAAGTGTTTCTTCATTTCTTTTTTTTCCGGGGCACCTGTCCCAGGACGCCCACGCTGTTGTCAATTGGCATTTAAAACACGAAGGGCTAGCTACGCCTAATGTCGGGTGCGGCGTGTTCACGGTTTTGGTGAAACTGTCCAGAGCGCAGCATTCCTTAGCGATATATCATAATAATAATTAATAGCAACAATGGTAACGGTGCACGCGCATCAAACAAACAACCCACGAGTGCGTTCCCTTGCAAGAGTGTGACTCACGATCCTCGCGTCATGTTGACCGCGCCGCGACCTATAGTGTGGTCGCACTCTAACAGACCCGAACGCGTGCAGGCTCCGTCAGAGAGTGCTTGCGCTCAACTTCAAGGCCTTTCGCGGAAAAGGCCTTCCCTGTACCCATATGTGTCACTAAATTGCTGGAGGCGGTGCTGCTGAAGTCGATGGATAACTTTGATGGATGTAACTGACTTAAATAACGACTATGCCCTCGGGGTGCCACAAGGCCCACACGCTCACCACGCGTGCTCGGAAAGCCTGGTGAACTTCCAACCGCATCGTCGCGGGGCAAGCCCGTGGGATCGGAAGCTGCATATACTGTACATGTACAGTACGTGGCATGTACAGTCACACTATCATTGCCAAGTTTATCTACACAATTTGCAATTTTGCTGCCCAGGTTAGTAGCAAGGAAGAAGCGGTTTCATTTTCAATATAACAAAAAGAAAAACGATAACCTTTGACACGTTGGTTTTCAATAATCGTCTTCTTTAGTGGATCATTCTCTTCTCTTACTTCTTGAATAGTGAAAAGTGCCCCACTTTTTTCTTGAAAAGGCTTGCTTTCTCAAAGATTGTGTTATTATCCAACGATATCTGAACTCCAAACTGCAGGCAGGTCATTGGGGTTTGTGACTCGTAAAGGATCTATGAGACTTTCACATCAGGCATTTCGTGTGTACCTCGACATCGACTCTTTGAGCAGGAATTTCGTTGCCTGCAACTGTTGGTCGGGCCTGTGAATGTTCGCACAATAATAATCTCGACTCATCACCATCGCACAATCTTGGCTTCACACTGTTCATTTGAGTTCCCGTGGCAATCTAGAATCTGTAAATTCAGGATTTCAGAAAAGCCTGTATGGCATAGCTTCCTCAAATTTGTACTAAACATCAAGCTACCCTTTAACAGTGACCTGTTTCGAAATACGATGCCAAATACCTCGTGTGTGGTGATAAGTACAGTTGTCGCGAAGAGCAGATTTTGCGCGCAACTAGACGACCTGGCGGGTTCGTTGGGCGCAGCAACAGTTCAGTGTGAAACTTCCAGAAAGTTAAACCCTTGCAACTTGAACTTTCAGAACATGACCAGAACCGAAAAGTTTGCAGAAAATTCACCAAGCAATTAATGGTTATCTCGCAGGTCGGGCTCACTATCAACGGGGTCGAAGGACAAGAGCCAACTTGTGTCACAACCAAGCAAACTTCTTTCCACATTCCAATTAAATTGAACTTGTTTTCAAGGGGTTTTTTTTGGGGGGGGTCGATGCATTTGGTGTTCTGACTCAGTGTACTTCACAAGAAATAGCTTTGAGGTGACTTTTGATAAATATTCATGAATCTCATCAGCAGTAGGTACCCAAGAAGCTGAAACGTTCGTGGTTTGCTGTAAACTAACTTGATTCTTTCCCTAAATCTGTTGTTTTTTGGGGGGATACGCATTGGCACTTTCTTAGCAATCTGCTGCTCAATTTAACCGCCCTTTCCAATTTCGCCGGCTGGAACATTAATCAGGTCAGCGCATCCATCACTGTTGGTGGGTTTTCTATTTCTATCGGGGAAAAATCCGCGAAATGTTGGAGGACGAAATCGCGAAACAGAAAAGACCGGAATTCGAATGGAAGAAAACGATAAACGTCGAAATATAGCCTTTTTGGTTAGTATCCATTTATTTTTTTTAAGCTAGTCATTTTATTCTTGTAGGAAAGGCTAGGGTTCACTTTATTCAGCGAAGAACTTTTCTCGCACAGACATTTCCCGCGGTAGATAATCTCGTGTACGTTGGTTATCCCAACAAATCGACCCCAATTTTGCGTGACATTTCCTTTGTTTGAAGTGGGAATCCCTTCCAACGCCCAAGAGTGGAACTTCCGGGTCCGAAGTCTATCTGTCCACATTGTGGGCGGACGATTAACAGAAAAGAAAACACGTCAGATAAATATACCACTACGCGACCAAATTTAGCTCGCCTAAAAGTGTTTCTGACCTTAAATAGTTTGCCCTCTAGAATTACGATTGCTGATGCAACAGGACACTTTGAAAAGTAATGAAGCACGTCTTGCTTTCAAACCTTGGTCATAAATATTCAGCAGATGTAAATAAAGATGTGGCCATGCGAAAGCTTAATCTAACTGAGATTGTTTGACTGGATATTTTAACATATAACCACAGACTACAGATAAGTTAATTGTTGGGAAAATGAAACTTTAGTCTTTTTTTTCCTCCGACTCTGCCAAATGTCAGACTATTTTCGCAGTTTCATAAATAAAAAATGCTGGCCTTATCTCATCCTCTGACAATGTCTAGTTTTAAAGAAATGTCCGGTTACTATCAAAAACAAAATACGGAAAGTATTCTAAATCAGTACACCATCTATTGCTATAAATAATCGAAATACATTTCATGTAACGTGCATGTATATGCAGAATAATTGTTCCATCATGCTGCCGAGCAGCCTAATCGAATCAGCGTCACCATGTTTCGCAATAACTGAGGTTCACGTGGTTTGCATGCATCAGGTGACCAAACCCTGTCGCCCTGTGGGACCGTGGCAGAGCCGGCTGCCGAAACACGTGCAGTTCAAAAGTTTTAGGGTAATCGCGTGCCATTAACATAAACCATGCGCTGATATCGTGCATCTAGTAGTGCAATTTTGAGTCCTTGAACTCTGTCAAGTGACCCACTCACGGCCCACCGTAGTTTGACTTTGGCATATCGCAATTTCGACCCGTTGTCGCCAGGCACTCATCGGGTCCGCCTAAAACCGGAGGAACACAAACTTTATTCCTTAAATACTTGTCACTGAAGAATGATGTGTCAAACAACTGCATGATTGGATATCAGCTATTGAAATTGTTTGGAGCCGCTAAAGTTTTAAGGAAGATTTTTTTTTCAAATATGTCTGTGGCCGTAATGGTAGTGTTGAAAAAATCTTTTGAATAAATAGTTGAATACATACCTATTGAATGGTATTGATGGACCTCCCGCCTGGGTGGTTGATGGATTGGAGTTTTTGTTGGAATGATTGAATCAGAGATTGAATGTTCCCGTACTGCGTCCTCATACTGTCTGAGGGCGTCTGCGAGTTCCTCGGGAGACAGGTTCGCCTTAACCCGGGCGATCACTTCGGGCGAGGGGGGCTCCTCCATGTGCAAGGTGACAAGAATAGAATCCATGATGGCCTCGTTCCGCCTCTCCTCCCTGCTGCGGCTGTCGATGTCCGCGGCCCGGCCTGGGTTAGCTGGGTGCTGGTGGGCTCCACTGGTTACGGCGCGGGCCCGATAGAGGACCGGCGGTAGGCTGGCGACGCGCGCGGCGCCGAGCAGGCACAACACGAGGGCCAGTACTGACGGTTGATCTTTGGCATGGGTAGGCATTTTTGGAGCGAAGCGGGAGGCGAACAACGGCGTCGTGCACAAACAGCATCAGGGCACGACGGGGTAGGGGAAAAACGGCGGTGATGACGGTACACAGTGCGACCAGCGCTGAACCACGCTATGTACTTCAAATCCGAACTCGCGGCACTGGCTGAATTTGAAATCGCCGGTTAGTTCTCCCCCGACTGTCTTTTAATACCGGCGCTGCACAGTGGACCCATAGTGTCTGCCACGTAATCACGGCCAACCAATCCCGGAGCCCTCTCAGTCACAAGAATGTTTAATTACTCACGTGGGTGGTGGAGCGTGCTCACTTCCTACCGGAGTCGCCCCGACGCAGATACTGCAGTCGACCCCGTGATGACTTTTAATTACGCGTCACGAACACCCCTTGTCAGTAGTTTACACGCCGGCCGGGCTTTGCTCTACTGCTGTTGTAAAACTTTGCCAACTGACCGCGTAAGAGGCGAGGGCGAAGTGGCAATTTGTCAAGTCCGTCCGATTGTCCAATTATGATCTCACTTACCCCCCCCGCACAGGGCTAGGGCGCCCTTCGCAGGCCGACTCGGTCACTGGTGTACCTTTGTGACGTCACGAGTTCGTAGCCTCACTGTGATGCACACGGTACGTGTGTGCCACACGTGGTGGTCGTATAAAAGTCTACGGAGTGTGCTGATAGTGCGTGCAGCGTGCTTCGATTGCTGTAAAGACACACACAATTCCCCCTTTTTATCTTCCCTCGAGCCCGAGCTGAGACCAAGATCACCTATCAAAGGAAACTCTCGCTCGCATGATGTATAGAGTAAATGACTGATTTAGTGTAGATTGTATTGACTTTGCTAATGCAAGTGTCCGGTTACACGGACTTCCCTATGGCCTATAAAGCACAACATTGAGTATGAACCCAAATATTACCCGGGTCGTTAACAGTAACCTGGCTACGGAACAACCGTATGCCTTTGGCGGCTGAACCTTTGAATGTTGAGAATCAGATGACTTTCTTGCTCTTCCGGTTTGCCATCGTAGGTCACCGGCAGCCGTGTGTGACGAGGCGTACTGCGCGCTACGGACAGAAGGGGCGGTGATTGAGTGTCCAGGAACACTGGCCATGCACTTGACCCTTGGCCCAAGTCTGGCCAGCCCACCGCACACGGTATTCAATGTATACAGGCCTCCCTTTTTTTCCTCTTACATTTCTAGGAGGTTTTTCGCTGGCCATATACTTGTACATATACATCCTCCAGCAAAGAGTATTTCTGTAAGATGTATACAGACCGCTCCCTATGCCCACCTGTTCTTCCAGACAGTTCACCTTTTGGTCGTTTTTAAATTTACCTCAAATTCTTTCAACGTGGACATATGTTCTATTAATATTATGAAATAAGGTTGTATGTTTGTTTAATATTTAGTAAAGATTATCTGGAGTTCTAGTAACTGCGTGGGATTATTTTTTTTGTGAATCATTGTTTTAACTTTTGTGCTGACGGCTACCTACAGTTTTAGCTGCCACTTGCACGAAAAACCCGACTGTGATGTCGAGAGAGCAGATCCTGTTTCCAAAGTTTGTTCCTGTAAGATATTTTGATAGTAAAAACTTCAACAAATTGTGTCTTGTTAAGAAGACATTGAAAAATGTTTCTGAAAAACGAACTTTAAAAAATGTATCTTGTAAAAAAAACATATTTTTTCGAAAAACAGGATTTTTTTTTCCAAACGCAGAGTTCGTTTTTACGAGTGGGCTTTCTTTCTTTTTTTCTGTGACTGATATTTTCTTTGCCTAACACGACCGCAGACATTACTCTATCGTTCGGCCTCCCGGCGTGACAAAAGCAAACAGAAAATTATGATCATCGATTTTTTTGTCCCGAGATTACGACCGGGAGTCACATCCGTTTGTCATCGTATTTTCTTATAATCAGAAGCCAGATGACCTTTACACAAAATGCGGAATGGCTTTTTGGTCGCTTGTATTTTTGCTGCCGCAGTCTGTGTAAACGGCAATATGTACATGTTTAACGTACATGTACTTCTGTTGTAGGTAAACGGCCGAGCGAGATGTATTTGCGCACGCGGTGAGGGTTATACAAAGATGACGCAGGTGACACGCACGAGCAACATTCAACCATTGTTTGTCTCGAGGTATCCCTGTTAACTACGTAATCCCCAGAACCAGAAAAGCAGATTTTATTAAGGTGGCCGGAAAGTAGCCATCTGCTTTTCTTCTTACGGGCACGCAGAAAAGTTGACAAAACGTAAATCTCATTACCGTTTTCACAAGGGGACGTGTGGATTTTGAAGGGGGAAATGTTTTCGAGGTTATCGCGAGAGAGGTTTCTCGGAGTTTAAGTTTTCAATCCTGTTCCTTCGCAACAACTTTATGCAGGATGGAAACTTTCGCCTGATTCTGTGAAAGATAAACTTTTACGTGAACCGAGTAAAACTTGAGAACGAACAAGGTAATCAGTTGCAGCCAAAATATATTCCTAAAGACGCCATCCATATTCATATAAACAAAAATCTAAGTTGGCCTTTATTTTCACGCCTTTCCAGCCAAGACGTTATTAGGGCTTACCTGTTCAAGAAGCAGGCATGTGGGCGTAGCTTGCTGAAAACGAAAAAGTGCAGTTATCGATGGGATGCCTGTCCCTGGTATCGCTGATGTAATTTAGAAATATATGGTGTTTTGGTTACGGAAACAACTCAAAGTGATTTGATTTGATTTGTAAAACAAAATAGTGGGAAAAAATCGAAATCGAAAAAAATGCCATTTTTGACATGTCCGTCCTTCGAGTCGTGAAAACGATCACGATATGGCGGTCAGTTAGACGATCAGTTGGCTACCGCGATGGAGATTTGACAAGGAAGCAGGGATAAACACCATATCATTAACATTTTTGGTCCGGAATCCCCAGCGTATATTAATTAAATGAGCAACCCTCGGTTATTTAAAGACGTTATTAAGTAATAGTATCTCTTGAATTCAGTAACGACCCGAAAAAGTCTACGTCTTACAAGTAGCCTTTCATACGGCCACGCATGCTCAGTATGCTGAACTCGCTCACAACGGTTCTACACTGGCCGTATTACCTTTGGCGGTAATGCGATACGCGTTAAATGTGACATAATCGCCCCGACTTGTCACTCGCTGAGTGAACACTTTGTTTCAGCAGACTGAAATATTGTCGATTTCAAGGTTTTTGGAGTAGAATTTGGGGGGGAAGCTTGATAAGAGTACGAATTACGCGATCCGAGGAATGTGTACCACATAGGCCTACTCAGCAATGATGCAAATGGTTACGGTCATTGAACTGATTTCCATGTAATCATTATGCTCCCCAAAACACCGCGACATTGCTAAAGGCTTAAATGGACTGGTATCGTTGCAAAGGAACATGCAGACACCGCATTGGCATTCCAAACACCGAATAGCTTCCGTGGTTATGGAACACAAAAATTCTTGTTTGTACTTTATTTCCTATTTTCAAGAACTACAGCTGCATCGGCCATTGATAATGGCCCTTTTTCAAGTTTTTGTCGGTGCATACAAAAGCCGCGAAATAGACACTATTTTCGTGAACCGCAGATATGGTGTTGAGAATAAACTTTGAAAAGCTTTTGGAGAGTGTTTGAGGAGCCTTTAAAGCAAACGTGACCACCGCTGGGTAGGGCATGTGCCCCCCCCCCACACACACACCCCGCAATTTGGGGAATTCGGACGAGACAAGAACTTTGTCCTCTTTGAACTTGTGACCGGCTGTAAAAAACAGGTCTCCGACAGGGATTTTTTTTTCAGGTAATTAAACAACTTTTTAGGGGATACATCATGCATGATTCCCTATGGAAAAATGCTTCTCGACAGGAGACTATAGACACACACCTCGCGGTAGCTTTCCGCCGTTGAAATGTAGGACTTTACTTCCCTTTGGGCAAAAAATCCTCCAAAGCAACACTATAGACTTCACTAAAGTCGCGTTGGCCCAGGGTGTTGTTTAAAAAACATGCTCTCCGACAAATTTGACAAAAAATGAGATCCTTTCTTTACACCACATCCTTGAGTCTGAAGAATAAAGCGCCCTCATTAGGAATCCCTAAAACATATACCCCCGGGGGCGATCTTGGGGAAAAGGTTTCTGGTTCCAGGACTTATCAAGTTTAATGCCAAACTTAACTCCCTGACGTCTGATTTAGGCAATTTGGAAGAGACGATGTAGCAAATCAAACATCGAACTTAACACTTAGATAAAAAAAAACCTGTTTTTATTTTGTTTGTTTTTGTCCTCTCGGGTCATGCTCTCAACATCCAAGGCTCGTCTGAAAAGAAAAAGCAGAAAAAATGCAAAGAGTCTCCGCAAGAAAGTGCAGACGGGGTGACTGAAAACTAGGTCCCCCGCCGACTCCGTCTCTTGTTTCCGGATAGTCCAGGATGCTGATACATAAAAGCAAGACATGCGATGCGGTCAAACAGTCACCAGCTTTAAAGTTACAGTGTCCACGTTCTTTGGATACTGTCAAGACGAACTACTCTTTCCAAGCATTACCCGATTTACGAGCTTTTCTTGTGAGGCAGTGGAGAGTTATTAAAAGCGCTGCGAGGTGTACTTTCAGAACAATCAAGTTCAAATTATGCGCTCTAGGAGCTCGTAGCTTCATTAATATCTTTTTAAAACGCACAACATACAAGTGCGTATATGTGTGCTTAACCTCAGCTCACAACTTCATGGAAAAATCGCTAGCATCAATGCAATCCACCCGTCTCCGAGCTAGCTACTGGAGCGAAGACCACCACGCGTTCCTTCACAAACTGATTTGCTCCGGGAAAGACAAAAATGGAGACAAAAACCCAAACTTCAAGACTGGAACTGTAGCACCCCTCCTTTGCTTTGGTTAAAAACTGCATTATTCTAGCTGACATTATTTACGGGTCCCTCCCCCCAACCCTCCAGGGGAGCGTCGGGATACTTTAAACTCGGGACTCTGACCCCATCACGGCTGGCTGTCTTGACGGTCACAGCATTTTTTTTTTCTTCTCTTGACAAGCCCCAGAGGGATTTGCTAAAGTTCACGAGTGGATCCCAGCGGTCGATGATCGCCAGTTGCGTCACCCTCGGTGTCTCTGCTTCTCACCCTAAAAAAAAACCACCGCCCAAGGGCAGTCCGTTTAGGCAGACCAGGGGCCCCCCATTATCAGTGGTTTTCTTTTAAAGGTGTTTGTGGTGTGGGTGTGGGTGTGGAGGGGGGGGGGGTCGCATAGTGTGGGACCGCAATTGAACGTGCTGTCGGCTGCGATTCGCTGTTCATTAATCTGCTGCTGCCATCGGCGCTCAGGGCTTAATAACCGCAGACGGGTGTCAGGTGCATGCATAAATAGAGATAAAAACTTTTACCCAAGCTATGGGCCAGCTGGGGTTCAAATATCCAACCCCCCCCGCCCCATGGAGGGCTTCCTGGGCCCTTGGTCTAGGTCATGTCCATTAAAGTTTCAACGAAT